TTCATGAATTTGGTGAGGAAAGAGAATCCCTGGACTTTTTAATAAATATTAGCTATAAAATTTTGCAATTCATTGACTGAACAAATAGTGTTACTGTCAATAAATTGATATAAAAATTTTCCAGTCTTTAGAAAAAGATTTAGGGAGTTCTATTTAAAAATTTGTGATGAAGAGAACATTTTTTAAGGTAAAAATTTTTTTATTTTTGTAAAATTTCATTCAATTGGGAGGATTTAAAAATATGTTAATTTTCATTAATAATTAAAAAAAAAAAACAATTATTGAAATTTTAGAATGGTTTACCTTTATTTTTAGTTTTAATTCAATATTTAATGTAATATTTCCAAAATTGATTTTATATTTTTCCAAAAATTTATTTTAAATTTATTGCAATTATTTTTAATTGCTAAAAAAATGTAAAAAACAAATAATTAAAAAAATATATGGTTTTTATTAAGACAGATTTAGGAATAATTTATACAAAAGTTTGGCATCAAATTTTTTGACTTTTTAGTTTTTTATGTTAAAATTTTGAAATATGAACAACTATTGAACATTAAAAAGTTAGATTAACTCGACAAAACAAAGAGTCTTTTTTAATGGACATTTAACAGGCAAATTTTAAATTTCAGTTGATTCATTTTTTGAAAATTTCCTTGAAGTTATCCAGATTGAAAGAACAAAAGAAGTCTAAATGTAACAACCAATAAATAACAAATCCAAATTTTCTGGATATAAAAATTAACTTGAGAATAAACATATTGTTTTATGTTTTGATTTTAAAAGAATTTTAGTTACTCATGTTTTTTTAACTTCATATTTGTGAATGTGTCTTTTTCCTTCACCTAATTTTAAATGTTAAATTGTTAAATTATTTAAACATCTTATTTTTTAAGTTCAGGAGATAGTACATTTTTGTTAATTGTGCTTATTTTAAATAAAATTCTTTTTTGTGCATTCACGCTCAATCGCTTAAAACATTAAATTCTTGATTTTTGCCCTTGCTTTTTGAAAAAAAAAATATAATTGTTGATTTTTAATTTAAGTTATAATTGTTTTCATTTTATATCAAAAAATTTTTCTAAAATTGAAATACTAATGAGTTTGAAAAAAAACTATGGTTTAAAAAATTTAAAAAAATGAAAAAAAAAAAAAAAAAAAAAATAAATAGGGTTGATCAATGTACCTTTGAAAAAAAGTATTGTTAACAATAAAAAAGGATTTTTTTTTCATTATAATTTACATATTTGATGAGCTATTCTTAATCTAAATGAGTTTAAGTAAGTATTTGAGCCAACAGTGGCTCTTGCCTGCTAGAAATTTTAAATTTTTCCCACTTGTGAAAATTATGAAAATGTCAAACTTTATGCAAATAGGGAATACTATATTCATGTTCAATAAAATCATTTTGTCTTTTTGTATAAAACTTCAAATTTTTTTTTTTTTTTACCTTTGGATCTCATTTATTTTTTTCTTGTAATTTTGAAAAAAAAGATACATTAAAGGGCAATACCGTAGAAACACAGAAAAATCAAAATCATTTAGATTAAATAAAAACAAAGTCGGTTGTTCTCTTGGATGTGCAGGTGGTAAATTTTGGTCAGAAAATTAACTGGTGAGCCAAGTTCAAATTCCATTTTGGTTTGTTCCTGCCTTTTATATAATCAACCTTGAAAATGTATTTATTTTTTCTCCTTATTTAAAATAGCGGCTATGTATAAACAGAGAGATAAAAAAATTATTTTAAAATTTGAAAAAATGTAATTGTTTAAAATTTTTATGTTTCAATTTAAAAATATGAGATTGATAATTAAACAACCAACAAATTATTTTTTTTTTTTACAAGCTTTAAAACTCATAATTGAAAAAAATTAAAAAAATCAGTTCTAATAATTATTTTTTGCTAAAATTAAAAAAAAAAAAATTTTTTTTAAATAATTTTTTATCATTTTCATTTTAAAAAATTTTTAATTAAATAATTTTGTTTTAATGCAATTTACGATTCAGGGCAAATCAAGATTTATATAAAATTTTTTTACTTGTAAAAAAAATTTTAAATTCAATAACTTTTTGTTAAACATTAATCTTATTATATTAAAAAAAGGTTGTGTGTGTGTGTGTGTCTGTAACGTTTATATGTTGGATCAAATTTCCTACATTTTTTAGCCGATTTCAACAAAACTTCACAGGACTACATAAAATTACCTTGTGGTGGTTCTAACGGGGCCGAAAATGGGAAAAATACAGTTTTTTTAATAAAATCAATTTGAAAACACGATTAAGACACATCGTGAGAATGAAAGGGGGACAACTCACCCACGAAAATGTAAACAAAAGAGCATAGCATGATGAAAAAAAAAAAAACTTGACGAAAAACAAAATTTTATCGTCTAATGTTCATATTATTATTAAAGAGGAAAGATCAAAGTATTTTGGGGATATTTTTTTTACATTTTTTAATCGTTCCTAGCACGTCTGAAATTTTCGTTAAAAATATTGTTTTTTTTTTTTGGTCAAAAAAGGGCAGATAATCATTTTTTCAATCATTTTTTTTTTTTTGATAAAAAATTAAAAAATCTTACTTTGATATTCTTTTAAAAATCAATTATCATTTTTTCAAAACTGATTTTAATAAAAACAGAAATTATACTGTTTATTTAAAATATTTTGAACCAAGCTTAACTTAGCTTCTGCGCCAAAAAATGTAATTTGAAAATAAAAAAAGCAGGTCATAAACTTTCGCGTCGCTTGACGAAAAGGCACATTCATGACGTTTAGATAACTTACGGGAGGAGAATTCTTTCTACGGATGGAAGGAAGTGAAATTATTTAAGTGAACAAATTATTTACCTTGTTATTTTTAAGGAAAACTTTTCAAAAGCTCTAATTTTTTATTTTTTATTTTTATTTTTATTTTTTTTACTTATCTTTCATTTTTACGTTTACGATGCTTTATGGAAAATATAAAGAAATTAAAAAATAAGACTGTTAATAGGGAGATTAAATTTCATAAGAAAAAGGTATCTAATTAATTTAGGTAGCTTTCTTATGAAATTTTATCAGAAGTGTACATAAAATACTATAATTTTATGTACATTTATTACATTTTACTGTGTTATTTGTATTTCCATTCATTTTATTATTAATTTTGATATTTCATTTATGGAAAAATGTCATAACTGAGATTAATATAAAAAATAAGATCATATAAATTAAAGTTTAGCAGTAGTTAAATTTCATAAGATGATACTGTTACTTGTAGGTACCCTTCTCAGTTGAAATTGAAAACTCAAATTAACTTCTCCATACCTGTTTCTCAAAAAAAAAAGGGCTTAACAGCGGAGAACAATGCTGAACTCAAATAATGCAACTAAATTGTATTCTGGTTGGTCTTCCGTACTTGATAATTACTGTCCGACTATAAACACAAAAATTACATTTCTTAATTACCATGGCTAATCTGATTGGTCCAAATTATACAATTTTCAAAGCGCTAGACAATGACAATCTCACACGGACATTTTGAAAGGTTGATGTTGCTTTTAACTAATGTTAAAATATTTTTTTAAAATTCAATTTAAACATTTTTTTTTAAATCTTTTTAAAATTAAAGAAATAAGAAATAATTGTATTAAAAATTCAATTTTCATTGAAAAATTTTTTTGCTTTCAGAAAATATTGTCCATATTCATAAAAAACAAATTAAAACAAATAAAAGCATTTGAAACTAAATAATATATTTGTTTTATTGAGTTTTGTATGTTACAATTCATAGCTGATTTTCAGGTACGTTGGCCAAACAAAAAAAAAAAAAAAAAAACATGATTTGCATTCTTCAAAGCCTTGTGCTTTTAACTATTGTAATCACTAAAACCGATGGTCTCGAATTTCTAGAGTTTTTCATAAAATTAGTTATGGGGTGTTAATAAATATAAAAAAAATATTTCTGCCATGACTTTAATAAAAAAAAAAAAAATATTTATAATAATTTCGATCATCTGTGAATAGTTTCTGAAAGTTTCATTAACATCTGACAATTATTTTTATTTTTGCAAGATTTTCCAAATTAATGTGTGTAAATACAAAAAAAAATTATCTATGTTATTTACTACCCCTTGTTGCGACAAAGAGAAACAAGGTTTTTTAAATCAAAATTTAGAATATTCTAAAAAGATGGAAAAATTTTTAAAAATAATTAAAAAAAAAAAATTTAGTCTATCCTCTTCATAAAAAATAAGCATTTTGACGATAAAATTTTGTTTTCATAAACTTTGGCGTCTTTTTTCATCAGACTATGCTCTATGTTTTAGTGATTCCGTGGAGTGACTTAGGTTAAAAACCCAGGTTGTTTGTGTGTGTGTGTGTGTGTGTGTGTGTGTGTGTGTTCCTTTATATATGGGATCGGATTTCTTACATTTTTCAGCCGATAAAACAAACATCCACTTTTTTTTTTTTTGCAGGTAGTATTTCTTATTGTCTTGCACACTTTTTTTCTTTATTTACATTCAGAATGCTTTAAAAATTCCATTTACAAGACAATTGTTTATAATAAAATTCTATTCACCAATCGATAGACTCATAACGATTGTAAACAATGTTTTTGTTTGAATTTGGGTTTGACCCGTCAACCTTAAACAATAATCTTTGTCAATTTTATTTTTCAGTCTTTATGATGGTCGATACTTGATCTATCTCTTACTGTTACATCCCCGGGCAACGCCGGGCTCTACTGCTAGTTCTTTATAAAATGTTTTATCTCAGGGAGACATTATTTTCACCCAAGTAATCATGATTTTGGTAACTGCTATTTTATATCTCTGAGGACATTCGCTTTTGTAAATTAAGAAGGCTTAAACTTTTGCTTGTGTTTTTTAATGTGTAGTAGTAAAATTATGACTTATCTATTAAAATATTAAAGAAAGTGCTTCTATTGCACATATATATATGTGTGTGTGTGTGTGCATATGCATTTGTGTTAAAATTGTATTTTTCTTTTTCAGGTTAGGAGGTTAGTGTTTGGATGTAATGAAAGCCATTTCCAATCTTTGACCAGTTACAACAAAGAAAACATTGGTAGCGAAGGAAAACTGGGGTGAAATGAAAGTTTTAATTCAAATTAATATGTACAGAAACAAATTAACTTATTTTAAATCGTTTATTAGAATTGATTTGAAGCAAAACTTTTTGCCTGATTTATACAGAAAACACTTTTTTTTTCTCAAAATCTAATGATATAGAAACAATAAAAAAGCTTATTTCCTGGTACATACAAATTTTAACTGATCACTTTTTTTATCTGCTGTAATATTCATTTGATATTTCGAATTAAAGGACAAATGTATATTGGTAACATGGAACTATAATAAATGTGAGGTATAACTGAGCGAATCTTTGTTAAACATCTTGAAACTGTATACATAAAATCATATATAAATATTCCACTCTTTCAAAAGATAATGACTTCAGAAAAACAGTCTTTTCCTTGTGTCAAGTGTGAGTCTGTATTTGCATGGAAAAATGACTTGAACAAGCATATGTCTTCACATAATGATGTTAAACAGTTTCACTGCGAGAAGTGTGACACCTCATTTTCTCGAAAGGACCACCTTCGAAAGCACATGATTTCACACACCGGGGAAAAATCACTCCATTGTGATATATGTGGTATGGCACTTTCTCGTACTTCCTCTCTCAAGAAACACAAGTTAACACACACAGGAGAGAAACCATTCCGTTGCGAGATTTGTGGATCAAATTTCTTACTGGAGGATTATCTCAAAAGACACATGACAGTACATACAGGTGAGAAACCATTTCACTGTGATGTATGTGATATGTCATTTTCTCATGCATCATCTCTTACAAAACACATAAGAACTCACACAGGAGAGAAACCTTATCCTTGTGACATTTGTAGTGCAGCATTTGCACGTAAGACTGATCTTAAAAGGCACATGGCCACACACAGCAATATTAAACCATTCAACTGCGAGATATGTGGCTTGGCATTTTCTAGAAAAGATCATCTGAAAACTCATGTGACTGCTCATATTGGTGAGAAACCATTTACATGTGAGATTTGTGATGCAGCCTTCTCCCAGTCCTCTTCGCTAAAGAAGCACCTCAAAATACACACAGAAGAGGAACAGTTTTCATGCCTGATTTGTGGAGCAAAATTTTTTAAGAAAGTTGAGCTTAAAAAGCATAAACGAATGCATGCAAGCAGGAAGCCTTTCCAATGTGAGGTTTGCAGTGGGGCATTTTCTGAACCTTCAAAGCTTAAACGGCATGCAAGAATACATACAGGAGAAAGGCCTTTTGCTTGTGAGATCTGTGGTTCTGCATTTGCCTATGGTTCTAATCTCAAGGCACATATGACTATCCACACTGGTGAAAAACGTTTCCTTTGTGATATTTGTGGATCAAGATTCACTGAAAAATCAAGCCTCAAAGTACACATGAGAACACACACTGGGGAGAAACCTTTTTCTTGTGATATCTGTGATTCAACATTTTCTCAGTCATCATCTCTGAAAAATCACATCAAAACTCACACAGGAGAAAAACCATTTCATTGTGAGGTTTGTGGCATGGCCTTCTCAGAGTCATCAAAGCTAAAACGTCACATGAGAACACACACTGGAGAAAAACCTTATGCTTGTGAGCTTTGTGGATCAGCATTTGCCCGAAGATCTAATCTTAAAACACATATGATAATTCATAGTGGGTAGAAATACTTGTTACAACTTCTGAATATTGATCCCTTGAGAGATTTATAATATTTTTTATTCAAGTCATCAGAAAAAGGAAACGTCCAAGTTCATTTTTGCTTTGTTACATTTGTATCATTCGGTAAGAGCAGCAAAAATTTTTAAAGATAAAAGGATTTTAATGTAGAAAGTTATGCATATATGTATTTGGTGCTCAAATTTATATTAAAGCCAAAATATATTTGTTTAACTATTGATTTATCTCACTTTTTTGGTGATTACTTTCTGTCAAAGGAACTTTCAAAGATTTTTTTAATAATGTTCACCCGGTACAAAGACCAAAAGCCACTAGAGGTAGAGGTTTACAGACTAATAGTTAAGTTTATGGGGATATGTGGGAAAGATAATGATTAATACTAAACTTGAACAGATTAAGATTGTTTTAATTAGGAAAGCATCCTCTTGGGAGTTGGTTTCACAAAGTAGCAGTTTGTGAGAAGAAACTGTTCAAGTGGAACTTGCATCTCATGGAATATGAAGGGAGTGAGGATGATTCACAACAACACGTGTGCCATGGCAGGTCTTAACTTTACTATATCTGCATCATAAAAGTTGTTACATTATATATATAAATATACACGCACACATGCACACATATATATAATTGGCAAAGTTTAACTGTATCTGCAAAAAAAACAGTATGTCAAAAGGACGTTTTTTTCTCTTGATACCACTATTACTGCATAGTCCCTGGGTAATTTTTGTTTTAAAATGCTATTTTTAGAATTTTAATAAAAGTGAAACATATGAAAATGGATTTATACACTTTCTTTCTTTCTCAAGAATTGACAAAATATACTAAGCACTATTTATTTTATTAGATTGTTAATTTACAAGAATATTTTTATATTTACAAGTTTATAAAAATCTGTGAACCAACTACAAAAAAAAAATTTCAAACTGCCGACCTTATAGTTAAAAATAATAATTCACCTCCTAGGACAAAATTAAATCAAACAAATATTTACAAATTTAAATGTCCATTAAGGAATTGTGTTCCTGATCAATCAACATTCATAAACAATTATATAGGCCACACTACAACATGTTTGACATGAAGACTCACACTACGTCTTTCTGACCATAGCTCAATTAGGTCTCATTTAAATACTCATGGAGACCTACCGGACCCTATTTGTAACATACTTGTTGATAATACAAATATTCTAGCATTGTCTACATGTAAAAAAAAAAAAAGGCTAAAAATAATGGAAGCCTTCTTAATAAAAACAAAAAAACAACATTCAATAATATCAACTATGAACATGGACACGATATGTTGACCATGTTTTCAAAAAGAAACATATAAACATACATACAACAATCTATTTCTAATTAACAGTTAATATATTTCAACCTTGAAAATGGCTAAATGAATAGCCAGAAGCACTCGGAAAAAAACGTTTGGAAAATTTTATATAATTTATCTACTGAAAAGAAAAAATTATAAGATCACATGAGAAATTATATAAAAAACTTAAAGCACCTTGTCTGTCATATTTACTGAAACTTGCATGAAAGAAGGATTGTTGCCTAAATACACAATATATATATATATATATATATATATATACTTTGTTTCATGAACACAAAAAAACAATTATACAGCAAATAACTTATTGAAGACAGTTGGTGAAAATGCAGTTTATTTTGTAGGCATCTGCATTATCTGTTCAGATTCAGTTCACTAGAGTTAAACAAGGTACAATACCCCCAGAAAAGCCATTCATTATATCTTTTCAGTCTCGCATTTTCCACTGACTTGAAGTAGAACGATTATATTGAATCAATTACAAAGTCTGCTGCTAGAAAAGTTGGTTCAGATGATTCCTTTTGCCAAAATTCATTTTTCATGTCCTACCATTCCACTACATTAAATATTGCTTCCACATCTGGTCTGGTGCACCTACTATATATCTTGAGATTTTTGCCAAATCCAAAGAAGAATCTGCAATGTTATTGGTCTGGACCTAGCATCTCAACTATATATTTCCAACAAGCTTTGTCACTTTTTTCTTTTAATCCATAACATTAATTTCTTCTCTATTTTATGCCCACAATGTTACAAATAGATAAAAATAAGTGAAAGATTCCCAGCTGATCTGTTATAATTCTTGCCTTTTTCACCAAATAAATATACAGTCTCATGTTATACTGATGGAGTAATGTGTTTTCTCTTAACTAATTCTGGATGCTTAATTGATGCCTAATTCCAACAACCTGTGTGGCTGTTTATTAGTTAGTTTTTTTCTTCTCTTAATCTTTAACTTTAATTTAATTTCCTCTTATTTTACACAATATTAAATTTTATAAAATACTGCCAGATAGTTCTTTGTTTTGTTTTTCATCCAAATTTTTTGTTTGTTTTTACTTAAATTTTTAAAATAGAATCTCAATTTTCTAGATCAAATTTTGGAGCAAAGTTATCTAATGCAGATAATGAGGTCAAACTCTATATTTATCTGAGAAATGTTGGCAATCTTGGACCTTCCTACCTGCAAAAAAAAAAAGAACAATTTAACATATTTTTATTGGCAAACTTTGACTTTCATGCCCGGGAAAAAAAAAACAAAGTGTCAAAAGGACGGTTCTTCCTTTGACACCACTATTATTTTCACTACCTTTACTCCATGACAATGTTTAATATTTTAAAAAGCAATGATTCAAATTTTAATAAAACCTAAACATATAATAAAAGGGAATTTATGCATTTTATTTTGTTAACTATTATTGAATATAATGACACCAGCAACTGCCCAGTGAATTAGTCTGTCAATTAGAAGAAATTTAATGCCTTGACCATAATTTAATCTGGAGTAAAAGAGGTCCTGGAAAATTCCTAATGCATCTGTACTTGATATGTTTCTGCCATGAACGTTTTGCAGTTGGAAACCCATCTTTTTTAATATACTCTGGTGATTGGCCTTTTTTAGTGCCAAATAAACCAACAGAAACAACTATTCTTGTTGACAGTTGTTTCACATCTTAAAATATCTACTTCTTTGTTGACTTGAAATGATCTACACATTTTAGAAATTACTCTTGTTAAAATTTTCAGTGTTGAATCTGATTGATCTCGCTATGGTAAAATCTATGAAGCAAAATATGTCTCATACTTCAAAGATATCATTGAGTTTATGTGAAGCTTTCAGTATTGTTTGCCTGATTGATATGTCTTTTATGGTTTATCAACCTTTTGCAGGTTATTTAAAGCCAGAAAATATTTTAAGATTTTTTT